AAATATTTCCCGCAATTTGTCTTCGGAAAAAGCCAGATTTGACGGGAAAAAAGCTAAATTGGCAGCAGTGATCAGCATACCTGCGACATATATTATCGATACCTAACATAATATCGATATTGTTTTATTTATTTTATAGAAATCTGCCATCCCTCTAGAAGCAAGTCGGCAGGCGACAGTAGGTGCTTGATTCTCGTGCCGGCAGTTGTAAATAGTTCAGTTTTTAATAATGAACGACGTTAGCCTGCGCGTATCAGCTTTAAAGCTGTGCGCGCATCCAAAGCGATTTAGCGAGATGCGCAATGCACTGGTCCCACTGCCGTCGAAGTGGCGAAACTGTGAGTACAAGAAAATAACCCACAGCAAACAGCTGGGAGACTAACGTGGCTTTCCTACGACACGATGTCTAGCACCAATCGACTATGTGGTGGAATTTGCTCAGGCCAACAATTGTGCCAAACAACTGTCCGTAGTGAAGGATGCCTTCGAGAATCCGCGCTCACTTCCCTTTCTGGCCGATATCCTTTTTTTATGCCCTCTGAAGCACCCCGTGCGCGGCGTTCTGACCAGGTATGGTATATGGTTATGATATCAGCTAAATTGAGATTTTGCTCATTTCCCAACTTCAAACTCGCAGACTGTTCTCAGGTGCCGAGAGCAGCAAACGCTCCCCAATCACTCACAGCAAGGAGAGCATACTGAACGCCCTACGTTGTGCTCTACGCCATGTGTCCGTCAACATCAACAATAGCTGCGCCTGCCCCGACGAGATAAACGACCTCTTTGTCTCGGTCAGTGGCTGCCTGCAGAACTTTCCGTTCGGACGCGATGCGCTGGCCCTGGAAATTTACTGCTTAATACCATTGGTGCCCAAGGCTATGGCCATCTTCTGGGGCTTATTAAGGTAAGCTTGCAGTTAATTGAGAGAAAAAAAAAACATGCATAAAAAGTATTTGGATGCATGGTGAAAGCTGAAAATTTGACAGCATGTTTTTCACTATGACAGCTCATCTTCAGGATGTACAAGGCTGACGCATCATCATATTTGACAGCTAGTTCGTAGTTTTTGTTAAGCATAGAGTTTATGTCAGTCATCAGAGACTTTGGCATTCTCTTATTGGGGACAACATTGCATGAAATGCACTTCCAGATCTTGAGATTCAGATTCGCATTTAATTCCGAGTATTCTCCCCTTTGCAGTGGCACAGACACAGAGATCTCGCCGACGCGTCGCAACGAGTGTTACTTATATCTGCAGAATCTGTTGCGCTTCCACGTCAACTACATGACTGAGTTTAGGTCAGAGCTAGTGCCTGATCGTTGTACGCCATTGAAGTCCATTGACGCGATTGCCGAGCAGGCATCCCGCCATGTGGATACGCCGTGGGATGTGCGCGCCGTTGCCGGCCTCGCAATTGGCCATAATGCGCGTCTGTTTGATGATTTTGGCAATTATCTGCTCAAGTGTCAATCTCTGAAAGATTTCAACGATTTACCCATGAAGGCCGCAGCGCTGCTGATGCTGCAGAAGAGCGACTACGACGTCTATGCTGCCCAAGCACTGGACATACTGAGGTGCATTTTGGAGCATGTCGAGAGCGCCAGCAACGTTAGCAACTTCTTGGTCTATCTGTCCAAGCATCTGAATACCTATTCGAAATCGTTGGGCGGCATTAAGTTAACCGATCGACCTCAGATCATATATAGCCTGATATTGGCCCTGCTCATGCGCTTCTCCTTGGAGCACATCACGAGCAACATCGAAACGATACGACACATGTGCGCCAGCTTATTGCATCAGGTGCTTGAGCACTGCAAGGCCGCCGGCCAGACAAAAGTCATGTCACAGGTCTATATACAGTACGAGCGTCAGCGCATGCCGCTCCCATCCGTCTGCCTGATGCTGCAGCAAGTGGTCGAGGTGATGGGCGTCAAGGCGGTGATGACGAATTGTCCGGGCATCTTTGAAAAATTGTTTATTCCCCATCTGGGGCGGGAGGATAGCGTCAATTCGCTGTTCAAAAGTAAGTCTCTCTCTCTCTCACGAGTTGTCCATTGAGTATTCACAAGTTCATTCAAATCAAATCAAATCAAATTGCAGGCATGATGACCGTTGCCCACCAGGAGGAGGCATCCAAGGACTGGAGGCGCCTGTGGTGTTCACTGCTTTATAGGTCCGCTGTACCCCGCGACGAACGCTTGATCTGCATTGAGCGCCTGATCAAGGCCGCCGTTAACCTCGATGATGAAGTGCTGCCCGAATTGATGATACAGCGCAATTTGCCATTCAGCACCAAACTGGCAGCCATGCTGACGGCACGTTGTCATGGCCAGCAGCGTGCGGTCAAGACGCTGTTCGTCGATCATCTGGGTGAGATCAGCTCAGCGCTGATTGGCGTCGATGACAATTCCCGGCTGTTGGCCCTCTCCTTTGTGGTCGATACGCCACGCCTCAGCGAGCGGTATACGCAATTCGAGCTGGACTCCATCATTACCTATATTGAGTTCAATGCCAACAATCCCAATGCCCATGTGCGCCAAATTGGCCACGGCCTCTTGCAGAAGGCGGTGAAGCGACTGGAATATAATCTGGCCCAGCAGCTGAAGAACAGCCCACAGGCCGTAAATGAAGATAATATACTGATCATTTTTGTGAACAAGCTGCTCGACATGCTGGCCATGAATCTGTTTCCCACCGCCAACTACGGCCGGCGCTGGCTATCGTTGCGCCTCCTGAATGATTGCATCCAAATGATGGAACGTCTCAATTTGGCCTGGCGACAGCGCATGCCGCCACAGTTGTGGCCCTATTTGGATTACTGTCTGCGCGACAGCTATGAGCACAATAAGGTGCAGGCCGCCCAGCTGTTGGCCAAATTCCAGGCCTGCTGTCCATATGACCCAATGGAAATCTTGGAGCAGCTAAAGTCGGTGCGTGTGACAGACTCCTCCATGGCCGTCTATCGCCTGCAGGTGTACTGCAAGGCAGCCGAGGTGGCACTGATACCGCCCCTTAGTCAAAAGGCTGCGATTCCCAAGCATCATGCACGCGACTATGTTGTCCTACAGATGTGCCTGAAACATTTGCGGAAGGGCGCTGGCCTGGCCGCTATCGACTTGACGGAGGCGGCCAAAACGAATCCGTTGTATGGCCTGCTCTTCGCCAGCCGGCACTTGCTGCTCCAACTCGAGCTGAAGCCCCTGGCCGAGGATGCGCTCTGGATTGATTATATTGAGGATCTGCTGAACATCTGTGTCACAATCACTGACATCATGCTGCCCATTGTGGGCAGCGATTCGCCGGAGGGCATGTTGCCGGGACAACAGAAGCCACCGGCCGAACCCACAGAGGATGCCGATAGGCAGGCCGAATTGGATACGCTGTCTCTGGTGCCGCAGATGGTGTTGCTGAGCGCCTGGCGCAGCATCAAGGAGATTGCCCTGATCATGGGCGATTTGGTGCAGCGTGCCCCGCTCGAGCAGGAGCGTCAACATCACTATTTGCTCAGCCAAATGCAGGTGGCGTTGATTGGTGATCAGTTTATATTGCTGCTGGCGGACGTCAAGCATCGCGGCGCCTTCGAGCAGGCATATGTGGGCTTCACCTGGCTCTGCCGTCGCTTCTGGCACAGCGATGAGCCGGCCCTCAGTCAGCTGCCGCCCAAGTGGCTGGACGAGGCAATGCGCCTGGTCAGTGGCCTGGGCGACAGGGAGCTGTGCTCCACACGCCGCAGCGCCGGCATGCCCTATATGCTGCAGGCGCTGATCTGTACCGAACTGAAGCTGGGCACCCACAACACCTTCAAGCGTAGCATGTCCCTGCTGATGGAAGTGTGCGAGCGTCAAGAGCCGGGCGCTGATGCGGCCATTGCACGCAGTCATGCCATGAATATAATGCGTGCGCTCTTCCGCTGCAGCGAGCTGGCCGATGTGGTAGGCGATTTTGTGGGGCGTGGCATTCAGTGCGCCCTCGAGAGCATAATGGCCGCCGAGTGGAATGAGCGCAATAGTGCCACACTGATGCTCTCTGCGCTGATGGTGCGCGTCTTTGGTGTGGAGCGCGCCCGCTCCGATAGCGGTGAGCTGCACGTGCGCAATCGCATGACCGGACGGATCTTCTTTACACGCTATCCCAAGCTCTTTGACTACTTCTATGAGAACCTGAGCAAGGCAGCCGAACGGTGTCGCGCCTCGCCAAAGGGTGGCCAGACGGTGCAGCTGGAGGCCATGCTGCAGTTGCTCTACCGCCTCTATCCATCCTCCATGGAGGGATCCGAAACTAGTCTGAATGTGTGTACACTATATATATATATATATATCTATATCTCTTTAACCCTTTTGCCATTCTTTTCGCCTTTTAGCTCAGCGCCTTTGTGCCCTTCCTGGAGGCAATCACGTGCGTGAACGATAGCACCACACGATATCGCAGCTGCGAGGTCTTAGCCAACTTTGGGAATGCCACCTTGGCCATTGAGCACATTCGCCGCATTACAACGATGTTCACTGTGATCAACTTTAAGCACAAGAGAGTGAGTGTCGAGTGCTTTCAAAGGATATTCATTGATAATTCTATTTTACTTTTAGCTTCAGGAGTATTTACTTATTGTTTATCAGTGGCAATGCACGTTACTCTACACATATACACATATACATACATATATGCTTATGAATATTTTTTTTTTAGTTGCATAAGCACAAAGGAACCTAGTCAAATGGGAGAATGTATTTCTCATATAGCTAGTAATTGCTGGATCATTGGGTGACCTCATATATCACTAAGCTGACTGCATATAGTACTATAATTCTAATAATGTAATAATGTAAGATGCAATTAGAGATTATTAGTAGAATTTGTATTATTAGTAGTATTAGAGAGAATTAGTAGATCTCTTCTGTTGATGTCCTCGTAGCCTTCTATTGTAAATTATCCCTTACTTGTAGAGTGTATACGAGCTATATATTATCTTTTGATTTGATTTTTTTTTTTTATAAGAAACCAAACTATCCGTAGTTTCCGTAAGTTTGCTTTTTAACTCTTCTCTTCTTAGCTAAGTTTTCGTCTAAAACTCAAATCTACTTTCATTATAATAGTAAAAGTTGTTCTCTTTCAATCATGTTTCTCTTAAGCAAACGAAAAACTTTTTTTTTCCAAGACTTCGTTATAATTTTTTTATTTATTTTTAAATTTTTTTTTTTTTTATATATTATGTATTATTTTATATTATATTTTTTTTTTTTTATATCATCCCACATTTCCCTGTATACTCTTGATTGATAAGCAATATAATTCTAACATAGTATCTCAGATATTAACATAATATCTCTATATATGCTTGCAGGGCGAACCCTTTCCCAAAAATATTAATCTATTGCACGGCAAGGTGTTGCAGCTGAAGGAGCTGTACCGCGTTGCTCGCTGGCAGGATGTGCGGCTGATCAGCGCTATGATGTATATGATGTCTGTGATCGCTGTGAAGATGATACATCACGATATGTTCATCTTTCGCACCATTGTGATGGTGTTGACGGACGCGCTGCTGGATCTGCAGGACTGCAGACATATTGGGGCGCCGGTGCTCAATGCTTTGATCGCCATCTATGACCTGGACCATATGTTGATCTATCGTCGGTGCAAGGAATATACCGTGTCGCCGAAATTCTTTGCGATATTCGCACTGCATTTGCACCGGCTGACCCTGAAGCCGGATGGCCTCCTGGATCACATGTTTAAGATGCTGGTGCAACCGGATAATCTGCCATCGAAGCTGCAGCAGGTGAAGATCGATTTGTGGCTGTATACGCTCATCGATCAAGTCGCCTCCGGCGGCAGCAAAGCACGTGGCCTCATCGAACCCTACGAGCTGAAGTACTTCGATTTCGATCCCGATGTGGTGGCCTATTACAAGACGCTGTCGCTCAGCCAGCGCACCAATCTGGCTAACCAATTGCGTGGATCAAAGCAGGTGAAGCTGCATGCGACGAAAATGGCCGGAATAATTGATTGCTCGCCACAGTGGGCGCCGGGCCTGTCGTGCCGTGTGTTCACCGTCCTGGCCCTGCTGAATGACGTCGATATGTCGATGATGCAGCTGCTCGATCGCGGCGGCTACGATGTGGAGCCAGGCGTTACCATTTGCCTAACGCGCCTCATCATGGACAACGGCATGCTGAGCAACTATCAGTATTACTGGGACGAACTGATCCGCTACGCTGTGGTTAACTCGACGCCCAAGAGGCCGGTTTATATGCGTTACAGATCCGCCCAGCTGCTGGACCGATTGACCGTGCACGTTCAGCAAATCATCCACTCGGATAACGTGGTCATCATTGGCAACTATATACGTCTGGTGCTGCAGCTGCTCGTCGATGAGTCGGAGATGGTGCGCAATTACACAGCGGAATTGGCGTCCAGCTGCATGGGCCTCTATTTGTCTGGCGAGTGGACGCTGGAGAGTGTCTTAGATGTGACTATGCTGCCCGTTGAGGCGGAGAAGTTCTTTTTGGAGCACATGTTCGAGGCCCTTCAGCGCTACAAGACGGATGGCAAATTCCTGATCACCTGTTTCAATTTGATTGTGGAACCATTCGTCAGTTTCGAGCTGTTGAGCCATCGCATCCTCGATGAGGCGCCATCCAAGAGTTTTAGTATCGATGACGAACCCGAGAGCGAAATCTTCGATAAGCAGGAGGTCAATCAGTACTGTGAGGGATTGCGTATTGCTTCGGTAGTGGCGAAGAGTTTCAAGGTCGCATTTGCAAATAATGAGGAGCTGATGACCGCTCTCGATGCCGTGGAGAGAATGTGCTCATATAAAGGATTTACCGAGGAACCAATTCCTCCAAGAATCATCTCCTAAAACAAACACACAAACAGCACACACAAACATCACACACAAACACACTAAGGCCACACCATTAGTACAAAACCTAAACATGAACGAAGGAAGGAAAGAAAGAGAGAATGAATGAAACTACAAGCTGCATTTAAATCCAATTGGATTTTTTATAAAACACACGCATTTATCATGCACATAATACAGGCAATCAATACAAACACATAGGCGTAGATAATTAGAAAAATTATGTCGTAGACATTGCAATCAATTCCTATTGCAATTTTAGTATTAAATACTAAATATTTTTAATACACATACATACATACATACATATACTCAATTTGATTTTGAAAATTGTCATTTATATGTATATTGTAGATATAATTTGATTTAATTTTGGCGCTCAACAAATGCACAAATTATGATTTCCCTAATCATCTGTTCTCTTTCTAACTCACGCTATACTCTTTTGTTTCTTTTCGACAGAAAAAAAGAAAGAAAACGGTAAAGAAAACATTTGGTTTCGGAAAACATTTTGTGCTTATATCTACATACATATATTAATTATTTTTTCTTTTTATACTAATTGCTGTATTCATATCAACAGTCACTCGCTTAAAAAAGTAAAATATAAATAATGTGATATATTATGCCGATGTGGTACACACACAAGCAAGAAACACACACACACACACAAATAAAAGAGGATTAAATAAATAATTATATATGTATTTGTATAATTTGTCATTAAATTTATTTTTAAAGTATCTGGACTGTCCGATAATATAGTTAACAGTTATTTCCGCGAAGTTGTCGGTATGGTGAAAATGCACTATCGATAGGCGTGCAGTGCTATCACTGTCTTTGACAACATCCCAAATGGTTCGCGATGTATCGCTGTGTTTAGCCATCGCTAAAGAGAGCGCCAGTCTGATAAGATGCTCGTGAGCGTGTGTGTCGAGCGTCCGCGTTAAAAAATTTTCGCTGCGTGTGCGTGTGCTTTGGCAACGGCAGCTGCTGCTGTTATTCTATAATATTTTTGTTGTTTTTTTTTCTAGTTTATTGAATTTTGAATGTGTAAATGGAATTAACAAGAAATGCATATAACTACTCCGCAAGGCAATTTACTTCCAATAAGAGAGCTCTTCTGCATCATTAAATTGTGTACGCAAGCGGGCGGGCGTTCGCCCCAATGCTCGTATTGTGTACATATGTGTATATGGTTGTGTGTGTGTGCCTGTTTGTTTCTGTTGTTGCTGTAAATTTGCTTGAAAATACAAATCTAAAGTACTACAATTTATAAATGAGATAAAATAACTGAGAGTTTTTAATAGAGCTCTGTTAATAGCACTCCAGTGTGTATCTTCGTAGTTGAGTGTATGTGTGCGTGCGTCTGTTTTGTTGGTTGCGTTAATTTCATTTTTTTCTTTTGTTGATGTTTTAGCAATGTGCCCAATGCCCACAATGTGTCTGTATATGTATTATATGTGTCTGTGTATGTATACGTGAGCAAACTACGCGCACAGTGTTGCCATATCGTCTCAATTGAGCGAGCGTAAACAAATGTCTTGTAACTTTTTAACTTACATGCATATGTGTGCGTGTGTGTGAGAGAGATTTCGTTTGTGCGTGTGCGTGTGCGTATCTGTGAGTGTGTAATTGTGTGTACGTGAGTGTTGGCGCATTTGCATAAAACGCTTGCAACAGCCGCTGCTGCCGCCGCCGTCGTTGTAATGCATAAATTATGACAAAATCTATTTTGAATAAGAAAAAAAAAACGTGTTCGTTTATGTCGAGTTACTAACAAAAAAAAGTGTTGCATATTTTATAGGCCATCAAAATGCAAGATCACTGAGAACAATACCAATCAAAAGAGAATCAAATCAAAATAATACAAACAAAAACAATTACTTAAGTTAACAAATTCATAAATTGCAACTGCACAGCGCCAACGCCTAAGCGGCTCATCAAGCAAATGGCGCTGCTGCTGCCAATGCCTAGAAATGGTTTTGGCTTAAACTGTTACTGGTATTCCCAGCTTACCTAAAACGAAAACAACAAAAAATAATACACACAAGAAAGAAAAAATAGCAAAACAAACAAACACAGAGTGCGACAGAGACGGAGTGAGAAAGAGAGCGTGCGCGCCCGCCCGCCCGCCAGCCAACCGCAAGGAAGGCGCGAGTGCAAGCGAGCGAGAGCTTAAGGTAAATATCTTTGCATGTAACTGTAACTTTAGAGCTTGACTTGCAGGCTTGCACACACACACACACACACAAGCACATGTGTCGCTGTGTGTGTGTGCGTGTTAGGTGAAGAGAGATCCAGCTTAAGCCAGCGCAATTGCCTGCAAGCCAAATCCAATATTATCTGCTTACTATAATGTAGTATTATTAAAGCAGGTAGTATTATTAAGGCATTATGAGGAGCTACTAGTAAAACAGGTGTTAATTAGATTAACAGGTATTATTTGCATTACATTAAATACATTCATTTGCATTCTGCTATCTTCTTAGCATTGCTTATCTTAACGTTCGGCTGAGATATACTATGCCTCAAGCGTTATTTAGATGACTAGGAATGTATGTACATATATGTACATGATGTACGTGATATATACAGTACTGTTAAGTATAGTAGGATTAGATATACATATACATATGTATTTTTTTGTTTATAATTATTTAATTATATTATATTTTCACTTAAATAAATTTGGAATTAAAATCAAATAAGAAACTTAAAGATTTAAATTTAATATAAAAAAAAATTTAATAAAAAAATAGATTTATTTTATATTTCATTCATATATATATTATCTTATACGCTTTTATTCACTTCAAATTAATTTTTAAAACTTTCAAACACATTTCAATGGAAGTAACATAAAATATATTTAAATTTCTGACTGGAAGAGTCCTTTGTTAAAATGTCGTTGAAATCTCGAGTCAGCTTGGACTCTTTGCCGACTTCACCTAACATTTTCATTGTTTGTCACGCGCCGACACTTGAACCAAAAAAAATGGGGAAGAAAAATGAGAAATGTGGGCGGAACGTAATTAAAAGCGAAGCAAAGTGAAGTGAAAAGTTGCTTCAATCCAGCTGCCTCCTTTGGGATAGTAGAAAGTGCTCCATCAGACATATATATATTATGTAAGTCTATGGATAGAAGATAAAAATCAACTATGATAGCTGAGCACTGATTGTTGCTTGATGTAGATCAGGATAGAATATGAGGTGGCTCTCTAACAGGCCCTTTCTATGCGTATATTGATATACCATATATATATTATATTATTATTATATACTATATGTATTGATACTCGTTCAGCGATCGTAGAGAGCATATTGGTTTTATGCATTCTGAATGTTCAACATTCGTATTTCATATTCGCCTAAATGATGATTGACTATGTCTAAACTAAAGTTAACTAAAATATGTATGAATATATATATATATATTTTTTTTTGAGACATTTACTCATAATTTTGGGTTTCATTTCAAAAAATACTTTGGAATCTCTTAATGACAATGATATTTAAAGAAAAGGAAATACATGTATATATATAAACTAATCTATATAGGGCCTATATTATAGGAACCGCGAGTTCTGTTCCCTTCATGAATTACCTATTGGAAATTCCAGCATTCTTAGATAATCTTAACCAGCATAAGCATTTACGACTATCTCTACGTCCCTCTTTCCTTAAGCTCTCCGAAAATGTACTCAGTTCAAATTAATTTCAAATCATTAATCGATTAAAATCTATATAAAATATTTATAATCCCTAAACATAAAAACTAAGCCACTTGTTGGCTGCCTTCTCGAATATTCTCGAGCGTGGTAAAAAAAAAAAAAGCACAATTTGAAAGCGCATGTCAAAAGTTTCAGTGCACAGTGAATTCAGACAGTTTTCGTACAGCAGCTAGTTTAAATACGAAAAATACAAAGAAAGAAATATATATATGTATATAGATATATATTAACTTAATTACCTTTAGTTGAAAAAAAAAAAAAATAAATAAATAAAAAAAATAAAAATAAAAATAAAATAAAAAAAAATAAAAATAAAATAAATAAAAATAGAAATATATATATAAATAGTATAAAAAAAATTAATAAATAAATAAATAAAAAGACAAATATATATATAAATATAAATATACAAAAAATGCAATTAAATTGTAAAGTTATATATATAATTATGTTTTCTATGAATATCTAATATTATATCATATTTAATATTATAATTACGCTTAACATATATAACATGAAGCTTTCTCTTGTGCCATATTATAATATCTATCTCTCTATCTCTCTCTCTCTCTCTCTCTCTCTCTCTCTCTCTCTCTATCTGTTTGTTTTACTCTCCTCCTTTCACACACCAGTCTCTTGCTCTGGGGCAGCGCATAGGAAATGGGTCCGAAGAAGCGTTCCAGCGTCGCTGAACGCCAGCAGCGTGCCACAAATGCTGCTGCCGCTGCGTCGTCGCCATCGGCATCGGCATCGGCAGCGACGTCGACGGCTAAGAAGCGCAGCATTGGCAAGCAGCAGAAGCTAATGGACGAACCGGATGATAAAAAGAGTAGCAAAGCCGAGGCAGAAGCAACATCAACAACAACAACAACAACAACAACAACAACAACAACAGCAACAGCGACAACGTCAGCAGCAGCAGCAAAGCGACAGCAGTCAACGGCATCAAGTGCTATAACAACAACAACAACAACAGCAGCAACAACCGCAACAGCAACAGCAACAGTTGCTGCTGCAACAACAGCATCGACAACAACAACAACGGCTGCTGATAAAGCTGGCAGCTCGACGACGCCGAAACTGTCCGCAGAGGAGCGGCAGGAGGATGGTAAGGCGCGAGCCATTAACAAGATGCTGAAGAGTCTGGACATCAAGATCCATGGCTTTGACAATCTGTTGCCCAGCGGCGAGGAGCGCATAGGCGAGGGCCTCAAGTCTTCCATATCGGAGAACGTGAAGACCAAATCGCGGGCGGCGGCGGTCAAGGTGATAGCCAGCCTGAATCCGGGCAAGCCGTTCAATGTGAAGCGCCAGCGGGCGGACAATGAGTCAAGCCGAGCGGAGAGGGAGCGCGAGAGGGAGAAGGAGCGAGAAAAGGAAAGGGAAAAGGAACGGGAACGGGAAAAAGAAAGAGAGAAAGACAAGGAAAAGTCCAAGGAACCGGAGGCAGTATTAGGCGAGCCAAAGGATGCTCATTGCGATAGCAAAGAATCTCCTGGCGCCAAGGGCGCCAAACAGTCGTCCAAGAAGGCCAAGCTGGAGCCGCCGTCCAGCAAGGGGACAAAGGCGACGCCCAAGAAGCAGCAGCAGACGCCAACGTCGCAGTCGGCCGAGACGCCGGCAGCGAAAAAGGAAAAGCAGCGCGCTGCAGCAGCTGTGGCCAGGGGTGGCAAAAAGTTGCAATCAGCAGCAGCAGCAACAACTCCTGCAACAACAACAACAACAACAACTCCGTGTGAAACCGAGTCCAGCAAAGCAAAGACACGCGCCCAGCTGGATTCCAATACGGAGCCGGTGCAGATGGAGCTGGAGGAGATCAATACCACACAGACGCCTCTAACGGCAGCCACGCCCACGCCAGCGCATACGCCCACGCCGGCAGCGACACCCACACCCACACCCGCAGCCACACCCACGCCCACGCCGACGCCCACACCAACACCAACACCCACACCGACGCGCACACCCACACCTGCATCCACGCCCATTGAGTCAACGCCGGCCAAGCAGCGGCCCAAAATCAAGTACAGTAAAACATCGGCGAGCAAGGCGCGACTGCAGCAGGCCTGCAGCAAAACGGCGCTCGCCAGCCTGAGCGCGGCCAAGGATATTTACGACTTCAAGTCGGGATCGGAGGACGAGGAGCCGATCAAAATGGTGCTGCCAGCGCTGAAGGAGCTGCGCGACTTCTCCGACGAGGACAACAAGCCGCTGAAGCAGCTCGAGCAACGGCTGCTGGCCAAGGATGCCAAGGAGGCCAAGGAGGCCAAGGAGTTGAAGGAGTTGAAGGAGACGGCGGAGCAGACGACGCCAACTGTTGCCGCAGTTGCGGAGGCGCCGCCTGAGCCGCAGCCCAGCGCTGCCAAAGGCGGCAACAAGAAGCAGATCAAACGTAAGCCAAATACGCCCACGCCAGCACCGACAGCAGCAGCAGCAGCAGCAGCAGGAGGAGCAGGAGCGGGAGCAGGAGCTGGAGCATCAACGACAACAGCAGCCGCAACAACAGCAACAGCTGCTGCTGGCAAAAAGAAGCCAACGGGCGGCAAAGCGAAGCAGCCAACGCCGCCGGCAGCGGCCAGCGACAGTTCCCGCTCGGAGAGCAGCGACTCGGAGGACGAGAAGAAGCTGAGCAGCTATGGGGCGAAGCGGCACCGCATGGCCTCGCTGAATGCGCTGGCCAAGGTGCAGTGCCTCTACGAGAACGAGTCGCGCACGGCCCACGAGCTGGGCCTGTCGAAGGCGACGCAGCAGCCGCCGCGCATACGGACGCTGGACGGCAGCGATGATGACAACAATCGCGGCGATATGCCGCCGGACAAGGATAAGGACAAGGACAAAGACAAGGACAAAGATCGCGATCGAGACAAGGACAAGGATAAGGATAGGGACAAGGGCAAGGATCGGGATAGGGGCGATGCGGAGAAGGCCAATGCGGCTGTGGTGGAGCCACGGCGAGAGCTGCGCCATGTGACCGGTGGGCGTGGCGTGGGCAAGCACTGGGAGCTCGATAGCGACAGCGAGGCGGAGGAGCTGCAGCTGCAGCGTCTCCAGCAGCAGAAGAAGAAGAAGCTGCAGAAGAAAGCGCCCGCCAAGAAGCCCAACGACACGGAGTCAAAGAAGAAGCCCAACAAAAGGGTTCAGCCGGAGGACAGCGACGATGCTGACGACGACAAGGACAAGGACAAGGACAAGGAGAAAGAGAAGGAGAAGGAGAAGGATGACGACAAGAGCAAGTCAAAGGACAAAGACAAGGACAAGGACAAAGAGAAATCAAAGCCGCCGCCCAAGCAGCTGCCCAAGAAGCGCAAGAGCGCCTTCCACGAGGAGCTGATTGGCGACTACAAGGGTATATTGGCGCGCAAGCGCATGGCCAGCCTGAATGCCAGCGCGATCGTGGCGGCCACCTACGAGGTGGAGCGGCACTTGGATAAGAATCTGGCCAGCGATTGCAGCAGCTTCGAGAGCTATGACGAGCTGGAGATTATCAAGCCGGCGGTGACAAAGACATCGGCATCAGCATCCGCATCGGCATCCGCATCCGCAGCGGCATCCGCATCGGCATCCGCATCGGCATCGTCGTCCAGCAAATCGAACACGACGAAGTCAGCCCAAGCACAGGCCGAGGTGCTGCACATCAAGAAGGAGCCAAAGGAGCCGAAGGAGCCGAGGGAAACGCGCGAATCGAAGGAGGCCAAAGAGCTGAAGGAACTGAAGGATGCGGCGCTGAGCAATAAGCCGCAGAGCAACATGATTGAGGAGAGCAACGACTCCAAGTACTCCAAGGAGACGAAGGAAACGAATACGGATACCACCATCACAACGACTGGGTATCGCGGCGACTCGAGCAGCGCCAAAGATGCCAAGGACTGCAGCCGTCCGACCTCATCCAGTGTGGTCATCGTCCAGGACACGGACGTCACCATCACCGGCGTCTATGTGAATGCCAGCAATGGCGCCGCCCAGGAGGCCTACTGCAAAATGCAATATCGTGTTCAGTCCAGCGTCACCGAGGAGCGGCTGCTGCGACCCGGCTCCGTCGAGCCACCCAAATCCTATACGCCGCTCAGCGCACTGTCCAGCATGCTGCCGCCGGGCGCCAGTTCCGGACTCAGCGAGGGTGAGTACAATACCTTTCAATATTATCATAATTGGGGTGGTTTCAATATCATCATAATTAGGGTGGTTTCTTCGATTAATTGATCCTCTTTTATGTCCTCTGGAGTCCATCTCGATTATTGCCAAATTCGAAAATCTATAAATTGCACATGAATCTATGTAAGAAATTTGGAGAGTCTAGCTTTAAAGATGTAGGAGATATAATTTTATAACTAATTTACGAAATGGGTTTTAATCGATAACAAAATAACGGGAGTAGCTATTGATTTCTTTAAACAAACTCGATATGCGCGTGGTATACACAGACCTACAACAAAAATATCAAGTCTCTAGCTCTTATATCTTCTGAGATCGACGCGTTCATACATTCGGACGGATGGACGAACGAACGAATGGATAAAAGGACAGACATACAGACATGGCTAAATCGATTCAGCTCGTTGTGCAGATCAAGAATATATGTACCTTACGCGGTCTGCCACGCCTCCTTCTGTCAGTTATATACATTGCATTTCCAGATTTCCCATGCTCAATGGGTTCAGGGTATAAAAACTAATCAAATTAATGCATTAAGACCGATAATAATTGAATGTGCCTAGAAAGATTCCACAAATATAAATAGCAGATGGATAGAGAGAGGCGTATCTATTTATGGGGACTGAGCTTCTTGTAGTTCTATATGGTTAAATACAGTTACTTGCAGTTGATTTTAACTAATCAGCCAATGCGTAATGTCAGCTGAAAGCGGGAAAATTGCCACGGACTCAATCACAATGACTAAGGCCTGTTGAAAATATTTGTATATATCTGATATTCGCAGATATTACCAATTGATAATATATATAGATGTATAGGGCTGTTCCTATTCGACTGACCCATCTGGCAGCCTTATATCTTTTGACAGAGATGCCAGATCGCTTATGAACAGACCTCATTAGAAACTTTTTTTGCCATACATACATAGATTATCCCCAAATCAGACCTATTGATAACATGATTGATAATATCTATCCTCTACTTACTATATCCATCTATCCTCTACTTCTATCCTTCTACAGCTCACAGCTCGCCGCCGTTGCCAGTGCAGGCGCCGGCGCCGCATGTCCTGCTGCCCGGCGAGCCACTCAGTGCGGGCATGTACCATGCTCCGGATCTGGGCCTGCACACGGAGCACATGCCGCCGGATCATCATGGACCGCCGCCGCCATCGTATGCAGCCGCTGCGGCAGCTGCGGCCGCTGCCGCTGCCGCCTATCACGCCCACCAGCTGGCGCCCGCGGGCAGTGGTGTGCTGCACATGCACCACCAGCATCAGTATGCCGCCGCCCATGCAGCGCATGCGGCGCACGCCCATCACTACCAGCAGGCGGCCGAGTATCATGGCGGTCCACCGCCGCCGCCGCCGCCTCATCACTATGGCGGGCCGCCGCCCCAGGGCCATTACGGTCCGTTGCCGCCGCCGCCGCCGCAGGTGGGTCCGCCGGCCGTGCCGCCGGACCGCTGTGACGTTGGCTCGCCGCCGCCCTCGTATCGGGCGAGTGCATATCCGCCGCCGCCGCCCGCCGGAGTGCCACCGACGCTGGGCGGCGGCTCGAGCGCCTTCTGTGCGCCCAATCCCCATCATCATCATCAGCAGCACCAGCAGCAGCCGCCCCCGCATCATGATCCCAGCGGTAAGTCCCTCAGCTTCAAAGCGACCAATATTTTCCACATGCTAAACTTTATCCATGGTTGGCCAAAAAACCTCCCAAAAAAAAAAATATATATATATACAAAAAATCAATTTCAAATTTCGCCTTTTGTTGTATTCGTTAACAAGGGAAGGGTATCAAAAGTATGCAGACGTACGAACTATATGCAATACCGAGATGAAACTATTTGAGTGTGGGATAATACGTATATAACTCCATATGTAGGTGCATATAAATATTACGAGTGTGTTTCAATTCCAATTTGTGCGACATTAAATGCTTAAATCGGAGAAGCATTTGAAAATTCTATGCAGAAATGATTAATTTCATGTGTGTTCCATTTCCGTTTTGTTGCACACAATCTAAGGAGGCTGTTCTGTATGTATTTGTAGAATACTAGATCTTTATACTATGTAAAAAGCAGCTATATGCATTAAATTCTTAAAATCTGTTCCAGTTTCCATTTGTTCCACAAGAATATAAAATACATTTACAATGCTAGTGGAAATTTTTAAGTTACTTTTAATACACTTGTGTATTGTATATAATTTTTATGTGTGTTCCATTTCCACTTCATTCCGCTCAAGTTAATTGAGCTGATTTAGTAAGCAATTGACTTCTACAACATAGCAATATCAGCTTCTGTATGTATGCACATATAAGTGTTCCATTTCCACTTTGTTTCACATGTTATAGGTACATATCTATCTATCTGGATTTATCAGAGTATCCGTAATACTTTTTAGAAAAATATATTATTGTATAGCTAATGGCTGTTCCAATGCCATTTTGTTCCGAATGTGCTGTTTGTCAACATATGTACATACATACTATATATAAATACGTTCAGCTATACGTGTATATGTGCTCATTTGTCAATTGTCAGCAAACTAAATAGCCTACGTTCGCTCTTCTTCTATCTCTTTTGGCCGTATTTTGTCAATAAACGCTTCAGGCTAAGCTCAATGGCAAATGGTACTAGAAATAGAGAGCATTTGGCTTTCGACAACAAATAGGATTTTCAGTTTTCAGTTTTCAGTTGGCAAAGGGCCAAAAACTTGAACATTGTCTTGCCACGCCCCACATGCCACGCCTGCATTGATTTCAGTTATCAGCAAACAATGAACGGCAATTTCTGGTGTTTCCAAAAAGTTTTCAACACGACGCAGAACTTGGCCCGATTGCCCGCCAGGCGATGCCCACTTTTTGGCTCTGATTAGTTATTAAAGAGTCTTGCCAAAGCTTCACAAACTTCAAGGGGTATATGAATGTGTGTGTGTGTGTGTGCGTCGTGTGTCTGTATTAGTTGCCATGGGCAGTGCACATCTGCAGCGCTTGGAGAAGGCTGCTTGAAAATCGAAAAAAAAAAACGGTGCATACATTTAGGGGCGCGCATAGAAACTCTGAAGCTGTGTGAATGTGTGTGTGTGTGTAAAAGTGTTGGCCAAAGCCGGAAACTGTAAGCAGGCAAGCAGCAAACGGAAACCGAGACCAGAGACCAAAGAATGCAAGCAAAAAGTAAACACGCTGCATTCGCTCCCGCTGCCGCTGCCTCAGTCGCCGTCGCCGTCGCAGTCGCTGTCAGCAGCAGTTAGTGCAGCTAGCGACGGCAACTGCGGAGTCAGCCAACCTCCATTGATGTCATTTACCTTTTGGTACAGACACACACACACGCACACATATAGAAAAAATGCATATTTATATGTATGTATGTTTAGCAACAGTAGACAAACTATGCGCCATGCATTCATAGCCAAGTTAACACTGTCTAAATTTCAGCAGCTGTAGATGATTTATTGAGTGGACTGGCCCAAGGTTAATGCTTGGTCTGTCTATCGATAGGCAAATCGATTATTTATAAGCGAAAAGCAGTCATAGTGGGCTTCGCTTGATCTATGCCTAAGGTCTTGAGTAATTATTTATGCATCGATTTATCGATTATTCTTTTAACACTTCCCACGCCCTTTGAAATCAATTTGCCCCGCCATTCGATCAATAAGTCATAAACTTATGACACATGTGCGGTGTCAATCAGTTTAAAAATTGATTCGTGACACGTTTGTGCATGCGTTTAGAACGCATGCAGTCGTCCATTAAGCTGTTATTCAGTTGGTGTTGATTGCAGTCAAACACATGCACACACACGCACACACTCTCTCGCCCTTCGTCTCGCTCGCACGCCCTCTCTGTTAAGTAGGCTAGCGTTTCAATTGTCCCACATACACACGCATCTATGTATGTATGTGTGTGCGTGTGTGTGTGTGTTTGCATTTGTAAATATATACATACGTTTGTTCTATGCACATATACGTAGGTATGTCTGTGCATGTCTTTCATTATAATCCTCACATCCATTCATTTATCCTTGTCCATTCGTCGCCATGTCAGCCGTAACTGTTTGCAGTTTACGCTTTGCCGACAGTTGATAATTCATTAGCACATGTTCTATTTGACGTTCGTTCATCCATGCTGAAGCGCGCGCACACAGACACGCACACACACACATGCACGTACGTAAAAATGAGAGCGCACTGCGCTGCCGTTAGTCCTGACGCCCTGACGCCCTCAAAAAGCTGCGGTCGCTGCCTCTGCTTCCTTTGGCTGCTGCGTCTCTGTTACAAGCTGCTGAAAGCCGCCAGAGGGACAGAGACAGAGAGCGAGAGCGAGAATGAGAACGAGTGAGTGTGAGAGCATAAAAGCGTCCAGAGAGTGCAGCAGGGATAGTTTTGTTGTATTTTTTTCTTCATTTGCTTTTTTTTTATTATTATTATTATTATTTCTTTTTTTTTGACAGTGCCGGTTGGCCGGCGTCGTCTGCGTCGAGTTACGTTTTAGTGCTCATTTAGACGTCGGGACGACAACGTAACGTAACGAATCGGCGACGGCAAACGATGTCGACGACGCGCCGTTTGTGGTTAGAATACGAAGATGATAATGACGACATCCAATGATAATCGCGTTGCTTATGATGGTGTTTATCGTATGATGAGCGGGCGAGTCATGAATTGCATTGCGTATACGTAACGTGTGCCGCGCGTGCTGTTCACAGATAATTGTTGTTGTTATTCTTTTTTTGTTGCTGTTCTGTCTGTTATTGTGCTGTGCTTCGTCGTTGTTTCGCAAGTCAACAGCAGCAACAACAACAATATTAACAAAAACAACAAGAGCAACAACAAATGGCAATTATTGTCATGCTTGTTCGCTACATTTGTCGGCTTGTTTCGTTTGCCGTCGTTGTTGCTGCTATTATTTTAATTGTTATTAAACAAATGCCGCAGATTGTAAATCACATACGTACGTACGTGAATGTGTATGTATGTATAAATTTTTTATATGTATGAGTGCTTAAAATAATACACGTTGCCGCGCGCGCCGCCCCGCCCAAAATGCCGGCCGGTTTCATGCTTCGTGTTTCGCTGTCCGCGTGTTGCTGTCGGCTGATTCGAATCCAGGAGCCGCCATCGCCGCAGACGTTGAATGCCCCAAGCTTAGTGCTGACCGCAGATCTAATTAGCGTTGCATTTTTCAGTTAATTTTAATTGAGGCTGATTTATAAACAACGCAATTTTTTAACTGCGCCACGTTATTTTCCTTCCCACCTCTGCCATCCCATACAAGCACACACACTTTCTTGCTCGCTCTCTTTCTGCCTCTCTCTCTGGATATTTTTCTTTCGCTTACGCTTTTTTTGTTGCTACAGAGGTTTTTTTTGTGTGCATTTATTCTTCTATTCTATTGAGAAAAAGCTAGAAAAGCACCGGATGACGACATTATTGCGATTGCGGCTTAAAATTCTCTTCGTGTATGAAAAACAGGCGACAAAAGCGTCGCACGCGTAAAAAATTAAATGAAAATACTGTGCAAAATGAATATATGTATATATTATAACCTGAAAACATTTATTCATTATTAAAAAGAAATAATCAATAATAAATAATTATTTACTAAATAGTAATCATATTTGATACATAATAAAGATAATAAATAATTATCTACTAACTACAAAATTATTTAAAATTCAACATATTAACATTAATGTCAATTCAATAGATTTTAAGCAAATATGAAATCCATATGCATATATTAATATTTTATAATCGTCAAATATTAATGTGTAAACTATATACTGTTATAATTTCTGCCCTTGCAGGTTCATATTCTTATTACATTTAAATTGATCAGCTAACATATGCAAATACAGTTTATTCAATTCACATAAAAATCTTAATACATATCCTCATTGATGTCGTTACGTTCACAAAATCATTTGCGACACATTTGTCGGGTGACATTCTGACTTTTATTCGCTGCATTTGCCGTCTTTAGGGAAGGCACTGCAGCAGCAGCGCCAACAGCACCAGCAGCAGCAGTCGCAGCAGCGAGCGACAAGTAGCGGCTCTTGCTGCGCTCTTCACTTTTAAGCGCTCTCTTTTTCACATACCGTTTTGACGCTCTCGCATCTTGCACTCTCTTGCATTGGCGCGGCTCTCGAGACGTTGAGCTTTACGCTGTGCGCCGCATAAAAAGCTAACGGCAGAAAATCGTATCGCATCGCTGTCGTCGTTTGTTTTAGTTTCAGTTTTTGTTGTTGTTGCTGCAGCTGCTTTTGTTGCTTTTGTTTTTATATATGTATGTACATACATATATACTATACATATATGTATGTATGCATTAAGATTTTTTTTTACTAATTTCTTTTAAGAATTTTCTTGAACAATTTTCCTGCTGCTTTCGTTGTAGCCGTCCCGGTTTTTATTAGAAGACATCGGCAGCGCTGGCAACTCGTTCGAGTTTTTTGTTTGGCATTGTTGTTGTTGCTGCCGATGCTGCTGTTGGTTGCAACTGCTTTTTGTGCTGAGTCTGTCACCGTTTAACGGTGCTTTTCGGTCAAGCATGTGTGTGTCTGTGTGTGTGTGTGTTTGCTTAGAATCTCTTGCAAGCTTGCAAAAAGTTGCGCCAGTGGGCGGTGTCTTTTGCCTGCTTTGCTTTAAGTCTTCTCCTCTATATTTTGCTCAGCGCTCGCTTCGCTCTTAGCTCCTAACTGTTATCAGCTATC